CGATTAATATGGGACTGATTATATGGGTGTTCATAAGAACATCATATAATCAGTCCCATATTAATCGTATTGATAACAATATCAATATAATCAGTTCCGTTGTAATCATGTTCATAAGAACACCATATAATTATTTCCATTGTAATTGTATTCATAAGAACGTCATATAATCATTTCCATTGTATTTGTTTGTTTGTTTTTATTTTAGAGCAAAGCTACATTGGGCTATCTGTTGTGTCTACCGAAGGTTTTAAACGTTGTAAGTCTGTAAACTTACTGCTGTCCCAACAGAGGACGTCCGATTGTAATCGTATTGATAATAATGTCGTATACTCAGTTCTATAGTAATATTATTCATAACTACATATAATCAGTCTCACAGTAATCGTTTTCATAAACACATCATATAGCCAGTCCCATGGCAATAACATACTTATTTTCTTGGTATAGGCCTAGTTTAAACTAAATCATTTGGTTCTTTCATTTTTGAGTTAAAACTAAAATAAACAAAGACTTTGAAAAGGCATGACAAGCTTGATACGTCTCTTTTTTAAAGACTCCGACCTTTATTTTATGTGGTTTATGTAATATCGAAACATTAATCCAGAGAAATAGCACGTGTTATTTTGAACGTATACAGCAGAGTACTATAATGAACACAGCTGTTAGTTATAAACACAAATAAATTATAATTAATATATAAATACCCATTTATTATATAGATATTTTAATTTTTATGGGCGTTGGTTTCATGTTTATTATTTTTTAAAGAAATCAGTTTTAATTTTTCTAAATTTGCTGAAAAAACAACCACTGTCTTGTAGCCACGATACTTAGCGTGCTTACTGACTTACCAGACTAAATAATAATAGTTAAATTGCTAAAGTTACTTTAACCATTCAACTGGACTTTTATAACACACTCACCAATATAGCTAGAAATTATGGTCTAAGGCCTATGCATGAATAAACTATACTGTGACATTCTATAAGAGCACAATATCTTAAAATACTGAATTATATACAGAGGGTTCTTCTTAAGGTACGGCACAAACATCTTAACTCAAAGACTATCATTCGAAGGAAGACGTGGCGTCATGATATTTCTGTCAATTATACACACATAATAAGCTAAAGGGATTCAAATATATATATACATATGTTCCAACACAAGCATTTTCAGCTGCAATGTTAGTGTTCGAAACCCAGCTTCTTTATCAATAGTTCTTTAACCAGTATAAAATCATATCTGAGACTCATAAACATGGGGGTTGAACCCTGTGGTTAGCCTGAAGGACTGTGGATCCGAAGTTAGCGCCCCGTTGCCATCAAATCCTACCATTCAATTAGAGGAGCTCACGAGTTGGCGGTGAGTAGTTTTGACTAGCTGCCTTCCCTCTAATTAATCACTTCAAAATTTGAGACGACTAGCCTTCGTGTAGCTTTGTGTGAATTTCAAGAAACTACAGCAAACAATCCTAAATGTATAAATAACTCGGGAGTTCGTTTAGTGTGATTCACGCTAATTTTCCAGATACATGCAGGTTTTGGTTTTAGCGTATATATATATATATATATATATATCACCAAGTTTTTCAATCCTCAAACCTTCCTTCAAAATAGTTGTTGAGTAGCGAAGACAGCTGGACGAAAATTAATATAATCCACTGGATCAAAACTGTATTGTTGGCAAGATAAAAATACTGAAGGCAAGACTGGGCAATTCATGCTTGGTTTACACTGCTGGATCAAATCTTCCACCAGGGCATCAATAGTTTACATTTTCTTAGTCTAAAATGCATTCTAAACCCTAAAGCATGACATATACACTTAACTACTTTTTACTTTATATATTTTCAGGAACATAACCATCATAGAACATAAAATCACAAATGCATAAGATAAAACTGAAACTATTACTGAATCACATTTTTCATTTAACCACTAACTCCAGAATGTCAACAAGTTACTGAACAATGCTTAGGTTTTCTTTATATTGAATTTTACAATTAAAAACATTAAATGTTCAGAAGTTTGATTGAAAGTGGTATTTCCAGCGGATTCTATGAAATTATAACATAAACAGGCAAAATCATATTCTACTAAATTCAATAAATAAAAATATAGATTGGGAGGATAAAAACTTCTAAAACTTTAGGCTGATTATTCATTAGCCAAACATATGTATAATGAAAACGTTTAAAGCATTGGGGAAGTAAACTCAAAATTGTATTTAGAATGTATCTTAGTGTTCTAAAGGTACTTTTAAAACTATTATTTGAAACTTTTTATGTACCACTAACTAGCAGCTTGTCTGTAACAAGAATTTGGCTTTGACTTACTATATGACATCATTACGATAGCACGGATGTTTCCATAAGATGTCTTGAACGTTTTCACAAACTGATTAAAACCATGAAAATAGAAAGACTTGGAGCTTGTGAACTGAAATACACACACACACATATATATATATGGCCTTAAACTGTTGTTACAGAAAATAAATCGTATGTTCTTAATTGGAAAGCACCTGATTCTCTACTCAGCACTGGAGAATGCCGATACGAGTATTCTTTATCATGTTCAGTTCTAGATTCAACTGCAAATGTTTTAAACTTCGGATTAATTTCGAAGTCCTCACAAAAATCACTAACTTTTCTGTTCTGCAACTTTTTAAAATTGCTCTCCCTTTTTCGTCTTTCTTTGGATTGCTGTAGATGAATTTTTCTGGCTTCTTTTGGCCAATAGCGTCCGAGTTTCATTTCACTCATGGTGTCTTCGTCAGTTGTTAACCCACATCGTTCTTCTAAAATCCTCTGAGCCCTCTCTTTAAGAATCCGATTTCTGATCGAGCGCTTGATTGCATATCTCGGATCATTGGATCTTTTCTTGTGTTCTATTTCCTTAGAAAAGTCACACATTGGCAAACAAAACACGCCATAGCGATCACATACTGGATAAGACATTAAATGGTCATTCGAAGTATCCCTGGCCTCTTCACAGTGTCCTTTCTTCGTGAAAGAGGCTACATGCTTACCAACCGTAGTGTCTTGTTTCTGTATAGACTGTAGTAGAAGTTGCTGTTGTACTTTAATGGTGTGCTTCAGATGAGTACTATTAGTGTACATAGTTTTACCCAAAAAACATTCGGCGTTGCTGGAAGTTCTTTGTTCTGTAGAAAAGCGTCTATCCTGAAGTGGTGGCGTGCTCCTGGACCTTCTCACACTTGAGTTGCTTACCATATCAGCTCCTTTTTCCTCAACAAGATCTTTTTGATTACTTCGAGCGCCATTCACTGTTGTCGCTGGGTTCACTAAAGATACAGGTGACTTACTTTGCCTCATTAACCCTTGGTTTTCTGAACTAGACACGCCACCTGCTGAACTATCCCCAGTGCTGTAAGCGCTCGAGCTGGACTTTTCATCTTGCCGTTGATTTTGATGTAATTCCAGTCTCTTTGTGAATTTTTCAAACAAACATCCCTTGTGATCATTAAGGTTACAAGAAAGTTTGCTATTCAAATCAATCATTTGTTCTCGTTCCAGGTGGCGTTTCATCAGTGTCTCACACTCCAACTGAATATTTTCCATTTCTTTACTAAGCAGCTCCATCTCGTGGTCTAGGCTATTATCTGACAAGTCCTCAGGACGCTGGGACTTTTCATAATCGGGACGGCAGACAAATTCACCTTCACTGTCGAGTTTAATGCTTTCATCTGTTCGACATAATCCACTGTCTCTTTCATTACATTCCTGTTTTATAGTAGCAATCGTAGTGTCCGTTAAATTTTTGTTTCTAGTCTATAAAAAGAAAAATATTATCATCAGTTATTAATTGAATTGGTTTAGTAGCATTATGTCATTACTTTAAGTAACACTAAAACGGTATAAAGGAACTATGGATTTCTGATGCTTCTTGGTTTTCTCTAATAGTTACAAAAACTTTCAAAAAAATATATTTTCATGGCATTTTTATTACGTGCTCCCCCAGAAACAGTGGAGCTATGATTTTAATAAAATATTGACTTTTCAAAGACTATAAAGTTCTAGCAGAATAAAATACTTATTCATGAACTAGGGACTCGTATTAATGGGACTTCAAATTCTTCCCTTAACAATTTCTGTAGTTCATGCAGGAATTTTTATGCTCACACAGAGAGATTAAATGAAGTGCAAAGATACATAAAGGAGGAATGACGTGATCTTCCCCATTGCTTGTTTAAAAGGATCAAATCAATGATGTAATAGCTGTGATATTATTTCAAACTTACAACAAAATAATCTATGAGTGCCTCGACGGTAAATCACCTTACGAAACAAAAATTCTCAAAGAATTTCAATTTAAATCAAATTCTGTGAAATCACCTGCTAAAAACAATGCTTTGAATGTGCGGCTTCACCAAAGCAAAGCTACAGTCAGTCAATATGAAAAAAACAACAACAAAAAAAAAACATTGTAATTCTTACAAGCGTTCGACAAATGGTTTAATCCAATAACAGCCATCTGAACTATAGTTTTCGAAATAGATGTGTTATAAAACATTGTGTGGCTTGTTTGTTGTTACTTTTGTGATATGAGTCTTACAAAGTCATTAATAATATTTTTAGCTCCTGCCAAAACTGGCAAGTACGCCAAAAGAGACAACATTACTTTTACGCCAACGAATTGTAAAGGAGACAACCATAAGGAGAGGTGTTGGAATCACCAAATATTTAGAAATTCCAAAGAAACAGAAAGAGTGTAATCTAGAGGGCGCGGCAGTCGTACGTATAGCTGTCACAAAAGTTCTCCCGTCTATTTGTTCACCACAGGTTGATTTATTGAGATAAACTGCACAAAAATCTTGATACACGTTACGTCTACACTAAAAACGTAGCTGACAAATCCATACCAGTTCCTGTATAAGCCTCTTAATCCACCTTGACGCTCAATAGCTTGTTGTAGTGAGTGAACAAATGTATACAATAAACTATCCACACATTTCACTAAGGGATTCGACAGAGGAGAATTAGAGCGGTTCCTTCGTTACCCCAGAGTTTCCTTAATAGACAACTGACAACCTCTAGTGATCATTAAACAATAATATTTCTATAAAATTAAAAAATGCTATCATTTTAGTAATGTGTTTTACGTCTGTCATTTGAATGTCTACCTGTTTACCACTGAACTAACACAAAACCCTGAAATAACAAATGAAATGTCTGTCTGTCTCTACGTCTAAAACAACATTAAAAACATCAAAATGAATCGATCTCGTGAGGATTTGAAGGTGTAGATCTTTTACCATATCGTGAGGATCTAAGATATAGATCTTTTATTGTATTCAGAGGATATAAGGGTGTATACCTTTTACCGTGTTACGATGATGTAGTTCTTTTATCGTATCATGAGGATCTGTTAGTGTAGATCTTATCGAATCGCGAGGATCTGAGGATGTAGATATTTAAAAAAACACATTAATAGTCATAAATATATATTTAAATTTAAACTAAAATCGTTTGTACAAAACTGAAAGCAGTATGTGATTTATTGTCATTTTAAATATATTTATGTTTGTTGTTGTTTTTTACTGAAACGCGCGAAGCTCTTCCGTAAATTAATCTTTTAATAATCTTGAGAAATTTGTTTTCTTTCATTTATAATGAATATAAAATCACTTATGGTTGAAAAAAAAAATGTTTTGTAATTGCTCTTCAACACTATAACACGATCGAATGAGGTTTAGGCTCGTATATTTCAACCACCTAAACACTTTCAAGTAAGATTTGTGAACTTGGTGCATACCCTTTGGATCTCAAAATTTTTATTTCTCCAGGATGAGTAAAGGTCGAAGTTCGATGGTCTTATATGTTAAAGCTTCTTATGTGAACAAGAAAAAAACCAAAAAAAAAAACAACAAAAGATAACATGGAGCTGTTTTACCATTTCTTGAATTATCGTGAGTATAAAAAGCAAACAGATAAGATTGTACTATTTTAATAATTCTTAAATTATAACGAGGACAAAGCAGGATATCAACAGATAAATCACATGAAACTATTTTAATAGTTCTTGAATTATCATGATAACAAAAAACAAACAGATAAATCACATGAAACTACACAGTTACTACAATTTAAACAACAGTTTATAAGCTGTTGCTAACTTTTAAACCAGCTAAATGCACTAAAAATGAAAAAAAAAAGATAAATGCATGCATGTTCGAAATGTCTTTCAATCAAACAACAAGCGTACTGAGAGATAATTTTCTCTCACACGTTTTCACTGTTATCAACCCCCCCAGTGGCACAGCAATATGTCTGCGGATTTACAACGCTAGAAACCGGGTTTCGATACCCGTGGTGGGCAGAGCACAGATAGCCCATTGTGTAGCTTTGTGCATAAATTCAAACAAAAATTCTGTTATGAGAAGAAAACAAACGGATATATAGAGTTTATGGAAATGTCCAATATGAAGACTGCTGGCGTTAGAAAAGAAATCCAGTTAATTGTAAAACCATAAAATCGTATTTACAGTTATATGTTACGTTTATGGACAAAGTATTTGGTGAACCCGGGCATTGTTATACTATGATAACTCGCTCGTCACAGATTACTACAGTCGTTTCAACAGTCCCAGTCAAGCCCTCTTCCTCCACATATCTTTCATCGCCGATTCAAAGTGCTTTTGACAGTCAACCGAACCAAGTCGCTTGTATAATGTTCCTTTTGCATTTCCTGCTGACTCCAAAAACAAGAGGGAGGCTAGACGACGGCTTCAGCTCCGAACAGACGAAGGTTAAAAGCTCGCATCGCCAAGCTTGCTCAATTTATTTGACAAGTCTTTCACCAGTGCCCCACCATCTCGGGGAATTACTTCCGATCCTTCTGTGGAGGTGGCTATATTCTTCCTGCTACTGTATTAAGAAAGAGGTTGCGAGATTTATCATCTCTGGCTTTTAACAGAGATGGTATGGTATAAAATTAAAGACGCTGACGTCATACCCACTCTCCGTTTTTACGACGTCTTGGCCCGCTCTAAATAAATTTTTATCGCATTCCTTTAGAAAGTGAGCCAAGACAAAACGACAGAAGCTATAAAGTTGCAAGAAAACTTTTAGGTCTTGAACTCATCTGTTCATATGATAGTTGTCTACGTACAACGTTATCCACACGTTTATGTGTTCCACATTATGTTCAGGCAACTTGTATGATTTGTTAGTAACTTGTGTAAAAGTTTGGTTTTAAAGTTACTACATACAGTAGATATTAATTGTCTCAAATATTTTGCTGTTGTTGCTAGTATATGTACCTCAAACTGAGAGCATATTGTTGGATCACTCATTACAAACACATACACACACACAAACTACAGAAAGCTGTCTTGTTTCCAATAACAAATTAATACTTGAAAACAACATATTACGCCAGAGGGAACCTCAGTGGATCCCTCTTTACAACAGACTTTTTGTAACACTACTTTAACCAAAAGTTAACTCTTAGAAGAAATGAATTATGACTAAAAGTTATTTTAGTGAATCACTCTCTACAACAGAATGTAACTTTCTTAAGTACACTAATATAACAAAAAACAATTCTTTGAACTAATGTATTACGCTTGAGGATATTTTAACGGATCACTATTTACAACAGAAGGTTATTTACTCGAACACTTATTTAACAAAAGGTAAATATTTGAAATAATGTATTACCCTTGAGGATATTTTAACGGGTCACTATTTACAACAGAAATAAACGTACTGAAACACTACTGTAACAAAAGGGTAACTCTTTGAAACAATGTGTTACACTTGTGGATATTTTAATAATTAACTCTTTATAACTGAAGGTGATTTTTGGAACACCTTAATGGAATAGGAGGACAGTGGTTTTGAAATAATTTATTCCATCAAATAATACACTATAAATATGTGTAATTAAATAGTAAAACTGTTTTAAACGAAACTCCTTAGACACATCGGTCACTAAAGTTTTGCACTGCTTCTCCAAAACATATTTAAAGAATATAAAACCATTTTGTAGCCTTCATTCCAATACACAATAAATGAAAGTCAGAATCTAATACTTCTATAGTTGTTATGTTAACCTATAATAACTTCTAATCTCTTATGGAAAGCAAAGAAACAAGTTGTAGTCTTCATTCTAAGATAGAGTATATCATGAACCACGATAGTGGTTCATAATAGAGTTTACCCAGGAATTTCACAAATAGTGTAATACAACATACTGGCAAAAAACATCTTAAAAAGCAGACTTGTTCTTGAAACAACACTCAAGAACTTTTATTTTAAGTACGATAATACTTAATAGCAGAGATCGACAAGGATTCCAAATAATTCACGCGCTGAAAAAACACCCCATCGAATTCCTAAGCGAAAAACCGGCCACTCGAAGTATTGGTTACGATATATTATGCGCATATATATACTAATAATATGCTAAAAGGTCGCTAACATTTCCGGTATAACAATTCAAAAATTTCTAAAACAGCAA